TTCCCATCCTGAATGTTCCCATCCCAAATGTTCCCATCCCAAACATTCCTGTTCCCATCCCGAACATTCCCATCCTCATCCCCATCCCGATCCCAATCCCAGTTTCATCCCGATCCCAATCCCAATCCCAATCCCAATCCCAATCCCAATCCTCATCCCAATCCCATCACGACCCTGCTCCAGATCTGGATCCAGATCCCAATTCCCACCCCAATCCCAATCCTAAATCCCAATCCCAAATCCCCACCCTTAATCCAGATCCCAAACCCTAAATTCCAACCCCAGTTCCCAATTCCCAATTCCCAATTCCAAATCCCAATTCCCAATTCCCAATCCCCAAATCCCAATCCCCAATCCCCAAACTCCAATTCCCAATTCCCAAACCCCAATTCCCAATTCCCAAATCCCAATTCCCAGTTCCCAATTCCCAATCCCCAATTCCATAAACCCCAATTCCCAATCCCCAATCCCCAATTCCATAAACCCCAATTCCCAATTCCCAAATTCCCAATCCCCAATTCCCAAATCCCCAATTCCCAATTCCCAATCCCCAATTCCCAAATCCCCAATTCCCAATTCCCAATTCCCAAACCCCAATCCCCAATTCCCAATTCCCAATTCCCAATCCCCAATTCCCAGTTCCTGGTTCCCAATTCCCAAATCCCAATCCCCAAATCCCAATTCCCAATCCCCAATTCCCAATCCCCAATTCCCAATTCCCAATCCCCAATTCCCAATTCCCAAACCCCAATCCCCAATCCCCAATTCCCAAACCCCAATTCCCAAATCCCAAATCCCCAATTCCCAATTCCCAATTCCCAATCCCCAATTCCCAGTTCCTGGTTCCCAATTCCCAAACCCCAATTCCCAATTCCCAATTCCCAATTCCCAATTCCCAATCCCCAGTTCCCAGTTCCCAGTTCCCAGTTCCCAAATTCCCAATTCCCAATTCCCAATTCCCAATTCCCAATTCCCAATCCCCAATTCCCAATTCCCAATCCCCAATTCCCAATTCCCAGTTCCCAAATTCCCAATTCCCAATCCCCAATTCCCAATCCCCAATTCCCAATCCCCAATTCCCAAATCCCCAATTCCCAATTCCCAAATTCCCAATTCCCGGTTCCCGCCCCTCACCTGTTGAGCCCCCGCACCATGTAGGACTGGAGATCCACGGAGCTGCGGGGACAGGACAGGTGAGAGCCCAGGTGACACCTGGGGACACCTGGGGACACCTGGGACAGGACAGGGGACACCCCCGGGGACACCTGGGACAGGACAGGGGACACCCCCGGGGACACCTGGGGACACCTGGGGACACCTGGACAGGACAGGGGACACCCCCGGGGACACCTGGGACAGGTGAGGACACCTGGGGACACCCCCGGGGACACCTGGGGACACCTGGGGACACCTGGACAGGACACAGGACACCCCAGGGGACACCTGGGGACACCTGGACAGGACAGGGGACACCCGGGGGGCACTTTGGACAGGTGGGGACACCCCAGGGACACCTGGGGACACCTGGACAGGGCACAGGACCCCCCCGGGGACACCTGGGGACACCTGGACAGGGCACAGGACACCCCCGGGGACACCTGGACAGGACAGGGGACACCCGGGGGGCACTTTGGACAGGTGGGGACACCCCAGGGACACCTGGGGACACCTGGGACAGGTGACACCCCCAGGGAGACCTGAGCAGGACAGGTGGGGGGACCCAGGGACACCTGGGGACAGGTGGGGACACCTGGGGACACCTGGGACAGGTGACACCCCCAGGGACACCTGGGCAGGTGGGGACATAGGAGGGGTCACAGGGGGACAGGACAGGTGAGACCCCCCAGGTGAGACCTGGACAGGACAGGTGAGACCCCCAGGGACACCTGGGACAGGTGGGGACACCTGGCACAGGACAGGTGAGACCCCCAGGGACACCTGGGATAGGTGGGGACACCTGGAGACACCCCAGGGACACCTGGGACAGGTGGGGACACCGGGGGACAAGACAGGTGAGACCTCCAGGTGAGACCCAGGACAGGTGGGGACACGGGGGAACACCTGGGGACACCTGGGGACACCTGGGACAGGCGAGACCCCCAGGGACACCTGGGACAGGTGGGGACACCCGGGGACACCCAGGGACACCCCAGGGACACCTGGGGACATCTGGGACAGGTGACACCCCCGAGGACACCTGGGACAGGACAGGTGACACCCCCAGGGACACCTGGGGACAGGTGGGGACACCCGGGGACACCTGGGACAGGTGGGGACACCGGGGGGTCACAGGTGGGACACGAAGGTCCCCCAGGTTCTGGGGGGTCACCATGGGGACATGGGGGGGGGGGCACAGGGGAGACCGGGGGGCCCCAGGTGAGGCCAGGTGAGGCTTGGGGGTCACCTGGGACACACAAGCGAACACGACGGGGGGTGACAGGTGGGTGGGGCCACCCCAGGTGAGACGGAGGGTCACCAGGTGAGACAGGAACACCTGGGCCACTCAAGCAAACAGTGACAGGTGACAGGTAACAGGTGATGGTGACAGGTAACAGGTGACAGGTGATGGTGACAGGTGACAGATGACAGGTGACAGGTGACAGT